TCGCTAGTTCCAGAAAAGCATAGAACTTAAAATGGACACTTGTGATTGTTGAAAACATAGAATTAGTGACCAAGTGTCATCTGAGCTCCGTCTGGACAGTGTGCCCCTCCCTGTCGTTCCCCTTTCTCTCTTCCTAGTCACGCTCGACACCTGGCCACACCTCCAGCTCACACCCGTGACATCTGCAGGCCCCTCATCTCTCTGCTTGAAGCTCCCACAGTGGCCTCACACCCAGCTTGTCACAAATGCATGCTCTCCATCCCTCCAGCAGAACTTCGGCCCCCACGCCCTCCGCATCAGAAAGTTTGGGATCATCTTTTCCTTCATGTCCAGCACACCATCAAGCTCCCTTTTGCTTCTGAAGCATTTCCCTAATCCCATCCACTTCTGTCCATTCCCCCGCCACTAGCAGACAAAGGTTCTATTACATGGAACTTCTTAGCTATAAAGTGGAGCATCTTATTTATATGATACTTTAAAAAATTGAAGTGCAAAGGCATTTTAACTGCCCCAGAGGTGCTGATGAGCAGCCCGGGTGAAGAACGCGGACGTAGGCTGTCTGGGGTGTTGCTGAGCTCACACATCTTCAGAGAAGTAAGTTCAGCTCCCCCGGCTGATAAACCCCAGAAATGCTTCACCTCCCCGGTACTTGGAAATGTCACTCTTTCTAAATTAAACCCCTCAAGCTACGGTTTAATTAAGCTCATCTCCTCTCCTAGAGATGGAATTCAGATATGTTTTAGCCTTCAGCCCGCTAAAGTGGAAAGAACATTGGATTCCGGAGAGCCGGGCTCTCTCCCTAAATTCTGTCACCTGCGTGCCTGTGTGACCTTCACATTCCCTCTGAACTTCCCTTGGCCCAGATCCCTCCCCCAGGACAGGAGAGGGTTGCACCAGCCGCTGTGCTACAGCTCGGACACCCGGTGGCCCCTTTGTTGCTTTAAGTCCTGTACGAAGACGCTTCACCATCTCCCAGAATTTAGCAGGCGTTCAGCAGATGCTCACGGTTTGCCTGGTGCCCTGAGAAGGTCTGTTTAATCCAGCCCCACCTAGTTACAGCCAAGTGTATCAGTGTCGGCACCCGCTACTAGAAGAATGTTCTTCCTGCCCAGAAACTTCCTTGAATTCATGGAAGTGTGTCCTGAGTACACACTACGTGTGCCATGCTACAAAAACCACTAAATTAATCAAAGTTGTATGCAACATGCGTATCCACACACGTCGGCATGAATCTCATGGCAGGGGGCTGAAATGTGGGGCAGAGGAGGGGGTGGGGGTTTTGCTCCCCCAGCCTCTCCCACATGCTGGCAGTAGCTAAAGACCCTTTCCTTAGAGGGAAGAGCTTCTTTCCTCGGAGACAGAGTGCAATTACATAATTCTCATCTTACGAGTAGGTACCAATGAGTGTGAGGTCAAGTGTACTCAATCAATGCACAGTGGGAAGGGCTGGGCCCGTGCTAAGGAAGGAAGAAGTCCTTAGAAAGGAGGCAAAGTTCAACAGGGTGGAACTCTTTTTCACGGTAGCTGGGTGAGGCACATAGAAACTGCACCAAAATATTTGGCTGTTTGAATGAAAAAACAGACTTCCTCCTTTTATTTGTGCAAGACCTAAGCTATATTATTTTAACTTATATCTTCCAACGGTTTTATGACCCTTGAGTCTTGTGATTAATAGGCACAGTCTTTGCAGGTAACTTTTAAAGATTTATTGTCTGGTTTCGATAGAGGGATGAGCCGTGCTGTGAATATTCATCAGATGTCTAGGTTATTAGGTGCTCTTCTCCTGCGAGTGGTCCTCAGAAGCACGTTAGATCTTAGGAATCAAGACATGGAGAGTAATGAAGACGTAACACCTTTTGAGACATTTTTATAGTTGCTTCAAAATATAGTAGTTGTTCTGCTTTGTAATTCTACTGCTTCTAAGAAGAAGAAGGAAGAAACCTGCAATTCCAGATGCTGTCAGATCACTAAGAGTCCAGTCCTGTGCGCGGGTGGTTCTCGGCAGGATTCGTGTTTGGTGTCTGTTTTCTGCCCCGCATAAATGGCTGCTCTGTTTAATTTGTGCAACGACAATGCCCGGGCGTCAAGGTCCAGCATTTTTCTTTTCCTATAAGCTGCACATTCCCACACCACCCCCTGAGTTTCCCTGCCAGATTCTCATCAGACACCCCCTCCATCCAGTGGACTGGCTGATTAGCTTTTAAAAACCTCAAATACTGTTTTCACATCTCCACATTTCTCAGATTATTTTAGCTGATGTGAAATGTGCAAGTCAAGCTAACGTCCGTGAAAAGCGTGTTTTGATGGCTACTAAGTGAATGGAGGAAAAAGAAAGGAATTCTGGTTCCATTCACACAATGTGCACAATCAGGGTTTTCTTGTTTTTTTTTTTTTTTTTTTTTTGGCTAAAATACAATCACTTTTGACCTTTCAAGATAGTCAGCCTTACAAGTGGCTTAGTTGAAGAAACCCGCGCCAACTGGCCCGTCTCCCTGGCTTTTGCCTGATGCTCAGGAGGAAGGGAAGGGCTGTCTTCCTCTGTCGTGTTCATCTCATCCATTATGTCTCAGATCTCAGTGCTATATTTGGATTATTAATTCTCAAATGAGCTCAGGACACATTATGAATTGAAAACAGAAACCAATAAAATGTGTACACCTTGGGAACCAGTGAAAATTTCAGAGGGAGGATGTGTCAGTTCCTCTCCCTCTGTCGGTGCTATAAATACCTGTAAAACTTTTCCTCATCACTCTGACATCCCTCCTTTCATTTCCTGGAACATAAACACGTGGAAAGAGCTGTCAGGTGTGCACAGACTCCACAGTGTTCTCAGGTGAGGACAGATGTATCGGGGCCCCTTGTTTTGTGAGTGCCATAGTTTCTGAGCAACCAGTTTTCCCTGACACCCGCCCGCCATGCTCTTCGGAAGGAACCTCACACGGATACAGAATAAAACCTGCTTTTGTGACTTCAGCCAGGCACAGCTACCCCAAGGGATCCACAGAATCTCTTCCTCTGCCCCCACTGAAATTTCACAGGTGGACTGCACAGACCTTCCAGATCCCCACAGAACACGAGGGGTATTGCAAAAGCAAAATGTCACCTGACATTTAAGGGCGTCTCTATGGTCCCGGATAAAACAGTTGGGACGTTTAGAATACCATCGGGTCATAACTTTATAAAGTCAGGGACGGAAATATCACCACCAGGAGGTCTCCGAGTCAGATATCTAAGAAAACAAACCCTGATGGTCGAAGGAGTCATTTCTCCCCTCAGGTGGAAGCCAGCGTCTCACAGTAGAAGCAGAGCACTTGAGAAAATCGGGGGCTTCAAAAGTCCTCGGAGGAGGGCAGTGGGCCTGTTTGCCCAGGACTGCCAGGTTTTAGCTCTCAAGTCCTGTCTCCTGGGCAGACCAGTTCAGTCTGTGACGGTGGCCTAGCACTGGCCTGTTACAATGTGTGGTGACTAGTTTAGTCCTTGGCTGGGCCCCGTGGGGGAGTCCGCTAATGAAGTGTCTCAGCCCCAGACTGAAGGAAAGAAGGGAGGAAGGGAGTGTGTGTGTGTGTCTGTGTGTGAGTGAGTGAGTGTGTGTGTGTGAGTGTCTGTGTGTCTGTCCCACTGACCTGAAGGCATCAGAGGATGCAGAACTTCTGGTGTCAGACCACACCTGCAGCCAGCATCCCTGAGCCCCTTCCAGGTCACCAGCACGTGGCCTGCTGCCACACGGGCTGATGAGTCAGGGAGAGAGTTATCGTGATAGAAGGCAGGAGGACACGGGCTGGGAGCAGAGGTGAGGGGAGACTGGAGGCGTACCATCAGCAATCCTGGGGGTTCTCAGGACTTTTGGAGAAGAGTGGGGACAGGAGGCCGTCCCACTTGACAGATATCTGGCCCCTACAGAATCTCAATCAAAAAGAATTAATGAAGCCACTTGCACATTCAGTGTGTGGGATTCCAGGAACTCAGGGGAACTTTCTAGGTGCATGTTTTCCTGGGATAGAGGGTGATAGCATGATAACGGGTGGGCTGGCCTGGTGGCATAGTGGTTAAGTTCATGCACTCTGCTTCGGTGGCCCACGGTTTGCAGGTTCGGATCCCAGCTGCAGACCTACATACCATTCATCAAGCCATGCTCTGGCAGGCATCCTATGTACAAAATAGAGGAAGACTGGCACAGATGTTAGCTCAGCGACAGTCTTCCTCAAGCAAAAAGAGGAAGATTGGCAACAGATGTTAGCTCAGGGCCAGTCTTCATCACCAAAAAAAAGAAAAAGCAAGATGACACGTTGACTTACCATTGGATAGACTTCGGGCCTCTCATTTTGAGCCAGTCCTGACGTGCAACTTGCCGTAGCGTTGTTCCCACAATGGCACCTTTAGGAGTTCCCTGATAAATTCGGTGCATAGACTCCCCGTTTTACATGTGGGCATCTGAATGAGCATGGGCCATCCCAACAATAAGTGGGTTTACACGATAAACCCAAAGAGATACCGCATGTAGCACTAGATCTTTGTGCTAATGAGTTTTTCGTTGTGTAACACTGGCACACACAGGGACTGAATTTTTCACCAAAACACCCTAACCATTTAATTTCCAAAGTGCAGCATGTAAAACATGACCAGCTCTGAAATTCCTTTACATTTTAAAAGCATGTTGGTTTGTTTTTCACAATTTCCTCTCATGGTCCAAATGTTCAGTTATTGATTGATCAGGTGTTTATGATCTGAATCAAATTCCCCCAGCTACACTACGTTTTGATAATGCTTTGGCAGCAGCGATGGGAACCCTTCCTCTCTAAGGTAGCGGTGGTGGGAAGGCCCCGGGACCCTAGAAGAGACGGCCCGCTCTCCTCACCGCAGGTCGTAAAGTGGGAAGGCTCCACTTCTGTCTCGCTTTGACGGTAGCACAGCTGACAGTGATGACAATAATGAAAGCCCAGTCTAGATGTCTGGTTACGGAGAAGGCCATCTCAACCTTCTTTTTCTCCCTCACCCTACAGTGCCTTGTCTTTGAAGATGCTCCCAACGGGGTGGAGGCCGCCCTCGCAGCCGGGATGCAGGTGGTCATGGTTCCGGATAGAAACTTGCACCGAGACCTGACGACCAAGGCCACCCTCGTGCTGGATTCCCTGCAGGACTTCCAGCCCGAGCTCTTTGGCTTGCCACCCTACGAATGAGGGGTCCTCGATGCCTCTCGGGGCACCACGCCCCCCCCCCGCGCTCACTGGGGTGACCCACCCTGCACAGAAATCACAACTCCCACATCTCCACGTAAACGGTCATTCCAGCCTGTGACGTCAGCCTTCTCATCCCCAGTGGGCCTGGCCCGCTCTCTAAAGTGGGGAAAATCTGTACCTTGACAGTTGAGAAATCAAAGCAGAGACAGCCCAGAACAGAGGTCAAAATTGTGATTTGAATAGTCATATAGTATTTGAATAATCATATATAATATTTGAAGAATCCTATGATTGTATTTGAATAATCATACAATAATCATATACAGTGAATCTACTTACATACATACATGTACTTGTATGTGAGTACGCGTATGCGTGTACGTGTATGTATGTATACATACTTTTCTAAGACAAAATGAAATTATATTTGTGCTCAATTCTTTTTCTTTTTAGTTTTTCTAAACCCTGGCTGGAAAATGTAAAATATGTATACATATATGTATATACTTTTATGTATATATATGTATATACATATATATTATATTTATATACATTTTGTACTGCTTCACTCTTTCCAAAAAGTGTTGATCTTAATGTGCGATAGCACCTCATACACGTGAGATGGTAATTCTGTTTGGTTTGTAGTCTGAGTGGGAAAGCCATGTTACGGATGAGCCCTTGAGACATCATGCTCCTTATTGGAAAACACTGATATTCTTTTTTGTGTCCTCAAAATATCTCTGTGGACCTCTGCTCAGAAACTACCTCTGAACCATGTGTCATCAATAGTTTCTTTTTAGTGTGAACAAGATGGTAGCCTGTATCTTGCATCTAGGTGCATATACACCTCTGAGAATGTTTTCTACCTCAAAGAAATGATTTCTGTCTTGTCAGAACAGTTATTTTTCTAACACAGTCTCTGATGCAAATATAATTTTATTTCGGAATGCATACTTGCTACGACTAGACCCATAGCACATTTTCGGAGTAATTTACCAGACATTACACTTTAGTGATTAACGCTTTTTAATAGAGTTACTCAGCCTTTTGTAATGGGAAAATTGTGAAAGTCGTCAAAATGGGAAAAATGCAATCACGGGGTATTCCTGCTTGGGGGACCCTTTCTCTGTCATTGTCATTGAAGTAATCGTCAACTCTGTGAGTTATAGAAAAACCACAGTAATGTAAGAGATTATCTGGTGGGATGATTGTTTGTCGATGATTGCCTCTGGCTGTTGACCAGTTTTTCATCAGTTCAGCGTTCTTGATTGCCTGTATACGTGTCTGTTCTTTGAATTGCCCTTCAAACCGATTGTAACATCTTACTGGTTCCCTCACCAATTAATTTAATTGAATAAAATTTTTGGCACTTGTTTACATTATATTTGTATGGGAGTGTGATTTTATCTTTTTTTGAAAAACATTATCCTCTAACAAATGTAAAACACAAATGTGACTAATTGGCTTGTTTTTTTTTTTAGCCTAAACAGTACTCATACTGTTTATGTGTGAGTGGCATTTATGTATTTTAAGTGAACCAGAGTGCCTTTGCATCCAGGAAATAAGGGCTCTTGATGAAATGGTCGCCTGTTGGATTTATCTGCTTCTTCCAAAATATGTATGTTGATTTTTTTTTAATCCTTAAGCCAGTTTGCACAAATAAGACAAAGAGGTTTAATACCTCTCTCAGGGATACAGATCTAGATCAGGGTAAGTTTCTCTCCAGGATAAATTTGATCTCAAGTATGATGGTGTTTTTGTTGTTTAAACAAGTCTGCAGCCAAACTCGTATATTTTGGTACAAAGGACAAATACTGATCCTTGGTCAAAGCACACATTTTTTCTTATTCTTCTACGTCAGCCCAATTGCTTCAGTACATTTCAGTAATATTCCGCTGAATAACTCATCGATTTTGCAGAGGTATGATAATGAAAATTTACACCAGAATGAATCCTGCCAAGAAACTTTAAAGAGTAGTTGTACTTTCTTGGCTCATTTTAAGTGCGTTCTGTTAGGGACATGCAGATTTTAATAGAAGTCATGCAGTTTTGTGGCCTAACCAGCAGCTAATGTTTGCCCCTAAGTTCAGAAGGATTTGTGGTACCAGTGACAGCCCCCAAGAAATGGCACTAACAGTCTGTCCTTAATTCCACTTAAAGGAAACATATGCAACACTTTTAAGAACTTGCTCATTACTGCTTACTAGAGTTTTTTCCACCTAATAAGTCGGAATTCAATGATTTATATGAAAGAAAAAGGGTCTGGAAGACATCTGCTTCACACGTGAGAGAATAGACTTGATAAGGAATCGAAACTGTTTCTGCTGTGCAATAGTCAGTGTTTAGATACTGCGGTCCACATTTTTTGGAATATATCCGACGGTCTGATGCTAAATTTGGCCTCCTTTGAATGGCATGTCCAAATTTTAAAAACAAATTTGCACAGGGTAACGAGTTTTATAACCAAACATAATGAGTGTTAGCCTATCTGTATTAACTCCTCTGCTTAACATTGTCTACACTCGACTACTTCACAGGATCAAGTCCAAACCTCATTGGCCTTATATGATGGCTTTCTGACCAAAGTCCGTCACCAGCAGTCTTTAGGATTATTATCTTCTGTACAGAGAAAATGAAGTGTTAAAACGCAAAGGATTTCAAATTAGACTTCAATTCAGAGCCCAGCTCTGCTACTAAATAGTTGTATCGCCTTATTTTGCCCCTTTGCACCTCAGACTCCTTCCCTGTGAAATGGGGGTAATCAATAGTTTATAGTGTTGCTGTGAAGATTTGATTGAAGTCACACATGGGGTGAAAAAACATAACACGTGAATGGTTTATAAAATGGCAGCTACAATTACTATTTCAGAGGCTGTATAGCATTCCCCAGTCATTTTTGTTGGCTGAAGATACCTGGTTTACAAAGGGTGTTTGTAAGGATATTTGTTGATTGAAGAGCAGGTCTTCAGAATTATCTCTGAAAGCAGATCTTCAAGATGCCTCAAACTATGCTGGTTTCTCTTGAGTCTCTTTAACAGATAGTATCTTGTACACATAAGCGCTTGATTTTTATCTCCTTCGTTAGTCACAGGATGTTTTCCTCGACTGTAATTCTTTTCATCAGAAAAACGGTCCTCCAGATTGAATTAATTGAAGAAAAGTTGTTTACCTGTTATAGACCAGGCACTCTAGACATACAAAACCAAATAAGGACACATCTTAGGGTATTTATCTTGTTAAACTTGAGTCATATAACTATGGTGAGTTGGTTTCTAGATTTTTTTCAGGACCAGGGTTAGCATCAGGTCAGCATGACAAGGGGCTGGTAGAAATGTGAGACTTTCAGCCCCCAGATCATCGTGTAGCCTGGTCTGATTTAATTGCTCCTCAAATCAACTAAACTTTTCTGGGTGTCTTCTGACCCAAGTGGCTTTTGAAGGATTAGGTAGTTACCTCTCTTTTCCTGGTTCTCCACTGAATGGCTGGTACCTGATGAACACAAAGTTGTTTTGAAAACTGTGAAACAGTCCCCTTAGAATTAAAATATTGTAATTAAAGCATTCCTTTTTGTTGACTGCAAACACCTATGATTCCCAAGTTCTACATGGGTTATCTCCAACACTGCATATGAAATGAGTATTTTTACATTAAAATATTTCCAGTGATTTACCATCACATTGATAATATATTTCTTTTGGGCATGAAAATTATAAAGAACTATTTAAGAATCCTAATATTCTGCAATCTCTTAACAAGCATGAGGCCTTGGGAAACGTGTCATATACATTTACTTATTAAAAACCTTTCAAAGTCATGGTGAGTTCATATATTATGCAAAGTCACTTCAAATGGTATGTTTTAAAATCCACTTTAGGAAACAATTGACATATATTTTATATTCAAACTCTTAATAAATTAAGGATGTTTAATATCAAGAAGACCAATTTATCTGTAAATCAAGTCAGTACTGTCCTTGGTGGTAAAATAGACATTCCATTTAAAAGTCAGAAGCAAACAAAAAAGGGGTCTATCGGTAAACTTTTATCATTGTCCTAGGAATTTCAGTCAATGAATAACTCCATTTAATGTTTACATACATAGGTCTGATGAGGACAGATTCTCTCACTGTTGTGTGTCTAAACATGTCTTTATGTCACCACTCTTTAATGATGTTTTCACGGGATATTAAATTCTGGTTTGAGATTAATTTTTTTTCACCTTTTAAAGATAGTCTTCTTGTTATTCACCTTTCATAGTTTTTATTAAACAACCAGCTATTTTTCTGCCTTTTGAAGCCAATCTGTCTCTTTTCTCAAGCTGCTGTTAAGATTTTGTTCTTCATCTTTGGTCTTCCGAAGAATGGCTTGCTTTGTTTTGATCTTGCTTGGACTCAGTAGTTCTCCCTGAGGCTGTGGTTTGCTTTATGTATCCCTACACTTCTTGGCCATTATCTCTTCCAGTATTCCCAGGCTCACCTCTTGGGGTCACATTCATATAAGCAAATAGATAACGGTGAACTCTTAGCAGTCTGTCTAATCAGTGGCTCATGTCCAGGTGTGGGTTGTGCCACCAAAGGAGGGGGCTCAGGGAGTGAGAAGGTTGAGCGAGCTGTCAGGACAGATGAGAAGTCAGTGCCAGCCGGGCCATAGGAATGACTTGGAGTCAGAGCACACACACCTAAAAAGGATTAGATTTCTTTTTTTTTTTTCCTGTGAGGAAGATAGCCCTGAGCTGACATGCATGCTAATCCTCCTCTTTTTTTTTTTTGCTGAGGAAGACCGGTTCTGAGCTAACATCTATTGCCAATCCTCCTCCTTTTTTTTCCCAAAGCTCCAGTAGATAGTTGTATGTCATAGTTGCACATCCTTCTAGTTGCTGTATGTGGGATGTGGCCTCAGCATGGTGGGAGAACCGGTACGTCAGTGTGCGCCCAGGATCCAAACCCGGGTCGCCAGTAGCGGAGCATGCGCACTTAACTGCTAAGCCACAGGGCCGGCCCAGGATTAGATTTCTTAATTAGCTCAGAAGCCGGGCGTACTGATACCAACCAGGAGGAGACCAACCCCCTAGAATCAAGTGTACCAGTAGTCAGAAATCCAGAGAACCAAGACAGCCAAGATCCAGGGGATGTGCAGAAGGCCCAGGACAGAACACCGGCAGAACCCGTGTCCCTGGAGCGAAGCTTTGCTTCACCTCTGCCCAGGGTGCAGGCTCTGTGTCCTCTGGGAAGGCGAAACCAAGAACTGCTCATACAGACGGACCGTCCCTGAAATATGAAAAACTCAGAGAAAACACTTTTAATTAGTATAAAGTATTCACATATGCTGATCACTTGAAAATTGCAAAGTACTCTCAATTTCTGCATAAGTCGTCATCTAACAGAGGGGCAATTGGGTTAGTTAACTTGTCAGGCCCCTCCTTTAGGAAGTGGTGGAGCTGTGGGTTAGGCACGCTCCAGAAAACTTAATCATTCCCAACATTATTGCCTTTAACCATAGGGAAAGAAGTACATCTTCTTGGTAATCAGAGTAAAAGGTTGTTTGGTGTCCCATTGTCACTTTCCTGACATAGACCAGACCCATGTGGGTCCTGCCTGGGAGCCTGCTGCAAATCCTGCATTTGAACATCTCCCCATGCTGCATAAGGCAGCACGCAGAGCACATTCCTGCCTTAGCTGCGTCATCAGCTTTTGTCAAAAAGAATAGTTTCCTTAAACATGTTTGAGATGCCCACCAATTGGGAAAATATTAAGCTCCGTGAAAGCGACCGCTTGTCTGTGCGTGAGACAGCTCCCTCGTTACTTTGGTCCTCAGTATTCTCAACCTACCTCCGGAAGACACCGCAAAATGTCGTTCTCGAGTGCTCTCTCTCTGCAGACACTTATCAGACCTGTGTGATGAGCTGTTTATTCTCTGCTGAGTTCCTGACTAATGTACAGCGTGTTAATGAAGCCGGTTGCTAGCCAGTTCAAGGTCAGATCTGAGTCGACAATGATCTGCACGTGTTTTCAGCTACAGTGCAGTTTCCTGAAAGTCGTCATATCTATGGGCTCAACGTTTCTAAAGAAGAGCATGTAGTTACTATTAGGGAGGGGTTTTCTTTAAGCCTCTCAAGGATTAAGTTCTGAGGTTTTCATCAATCAT